AGGGCCTTTTCGGTCCTGGCCCCAACCTGAACTCTCTGTCAAATGACATCAGGGCCCCGTGAGAACTTATGCAATTCCGCAGGGCCTGTAAGGTGGAGATGTTCCACCAGGCTTTTGGTTGAGGGCAGCAACGGGTTTTCCTTGGCTGGCACCTTCCCTCCCCCGCCCTTGAACTGCTGTTATGAGTTCCCTCTTCCCCTGCCCAGAAACTGGCCCGATAGTCCAGAGCTGGGGTAGAAATTTCCAGATGCCATCATCATAAATAAATAAATAAATATCATAGACTCTAATTGGGTCTTTAGCTTTATTAAATTGTTCTGTAGAATTTTCATGTTTTATATGTTTTATGGCCTTATGCACCCATGTACATTGCCCAGAGCCTAGCATAAACTGGGACAGGGTGATTAACAAATTTAATAAATAACAATAATAATTTTTAAAGTAAGTCTTATTTCCCTCAAGTGGCACTGAAGCCATTGCTACCTACTACTGAATTTTGCTTTTGAGACTCCCCCCCCCCACTGTAATAGTAAAAACCAGTGCCTTTCTCCTCTCATTTAAAACGCAACAGAGGGGACACTTTGCAGAAGTGGGCAAGCAGAACAAAAGGGCCTCTTCCCACTAGGGTTGCCAGCTCCAGCTTTGTAAACCGCTGAAGATTTGGGAGCGGAGCTGCTGGGGAAGGCAGAGTTTGGTGAGGGGTATGGTTGCCAGCTCCAGGCTTAGAAATACCTGGAGATTTGGGGGTGCTGAGCCTGAGGAGGGCAGTGCTTAGAGAGGGGGGGTACTTCAGTGAAGTATAATGCCATAGAGTTACCATCCAAAGAGGCCATTTTCTCTAGGTGAACTGATCTTTGTCACCTGGAGATTGGTTATAATAGTGGGAGATCTCCAGCCACCCCCTGGGGGCTGGCAACCCAAGCAAGGGGGGAACTCAGTGGAAATGTGATTCCTTAAAGTGTGCCATCCAAAGGTGATATTTCCTCCAGAGAAACTGATATTTGTAGCCTGGAGATCAGCTGTAATTCTGGGAGAACTCCGTGCCCCAATTTGAGGTTGGTAACCCTGCTTTCCACAGTATGGGAGGCGGAGTTATGTTTTTAAAAATGTGTCTTTTATATCAGTGTATGCATCTTTCAAAACTTGTCTCCTTGTCTCCTTCATAAACAACATTTTTTAGCATCTGAAGTGCCCCCCCCCCCCAATACTCACAACTGAATGAATTTATATCAATAGCCGGTCAGGTTCGAAACTAAATAATTTTTTTGTGAGAAATCAATGCAGAACCTAATATGGGTATCTATACTGATTTTTTTTAAAAATTAGCTATATATAATATCATTCCAGTACCTCAGCACTCATTGGCCACAGTGTAGAGGTCGGAGGTTTACTAAGAAGTCAGCAAGTGGGAAATATAATTTTCAGCCATTTTTAAAGCATGACGTGATAACTGTAGACCAAAGGGCAGGGGTAGTTTTGCCAAATCTTTCAAGTTTGACAGATTACCACAGTTACTCTATATCCATGAAGATGGTTTCAGAGGGTAGACATGTTGGTCTGCAGTAGAACAGCTAGATTAGAGTCCAGCAGCACCTTAGAGATCAACAAGACGTTTTTGGCGTAAGCTTTTAAGAGAAGAATCCCTGAAATTCTGGTTGGCTCAAATCTAGCTATCATATGCATCCTTTTGCATAAAACACTTTCTGAGCAACTGAAACAGTGCCCCAGATTGAAAGGACATCAGATTTCTTTTTAAAATTCCTAATCATTTCAAATGGAGGCACATACACAAATGTGAGGGTAGCGGGCTCCTCCTTAGAAGAAACACCATATCTTCTCTCACACACAAGGGACTGCATCTAAATGGTGGCTGCAGCTTTATGTGTCATATGCGCAGATCCCTGAAAACATACTTGTTCAGACACATATATAGATTCAATTGTTCCTCAATTAACTAAAATCATACAATGGACTAAAATTTCAGTAGTTTGACGACAGTCCTCTTGGTGATATTTCGGAATCTTTACCTTACCATCTCTAGCTTCAATTGCTAGTCTTTTTCTAGCTATTATTATTGTTATTACTATTATTATTTATGATTTTATTGTCTTATTGGGTTTTATGCATGGGCTCTTGCCCCTTGTAAGCCGCCCTGAGCCCGCTTGCGGGGAGGGTGGGGTAAAAATGCCTAAATAAAAATAAAATAAATAAATAGCTGTTGATGGCCTGTTAAGCACCTTTATATGGGGGGGGGGAAGGAGGGGGAAATAATTGCTAGTTCCTTCTTCCTCAGTTTCATCTCACCAATTTCATGCCATGCCATGGATTTCTCTGCCATAGTAAGACAGTAAGGGATAACATATGTGAAGAACTCAACCATGTAATCAGGGAGTAATATCGATACTAGTACCTAAGCAGACAGGGGTGGAGGGATGGGCATGAACCGGAAAAATGGCTAAACCACAAATTGAACCAGGAGGTTCATTAGCGAACTGAACCAGTTTGTGGTTCATGGCCCCATAAACCCCATTAAAAGGGACCACAATCCCTTTATACAAGGTTTGCAGAAACCCCCCCAAAAAGAACAGCTGAGCGGCAGGGAGGTGTTCCCCACCACTCTGTTGTTTTTTGCAGCTTTCCTGGGGAACAGAAAGCAGAGATTTAAAGGGACTCAAAGTTCCCCTGCTTTCTACTCTATCCACAAGCCGCCATGAACCGCTTCAAAAGTTCGTGGAAGTTTGTGGGGGAAGACCCATCACAAACTTTGGTTCACAAACCTTGAACAGGGCCAAATTTGTGATGAATTTTGCTTCGTGGTTCAGTTCATGCCCATTCCTACAGGGGTCTCCAACATTATGCCAGTGGGTACCACGGAGCCTGTTGAAATTTTCCTGGGGCCCTTTAGAAAGTTGAACAGGGCCAGGTGGGTCCTTTGCCCAGCATCGCTTCTGATTGGCCCACTGGAGATATGATTGACTATGCAGATTTTTTTTTTTTTTGGTACTGGCATTGGTAGGAACGACTATTTTGGTGGTCACAAGAGTAACCATTCTGCAGCTCTCTGTTTCTGCAGGATCAGTGGGACTAGAAGTAGCAAAATGTAGACATAGTGATGATTGCCGAGAAGTGTAAACAGCTAATAAGAAACTTCAACATTGAGACATCTTTCACTAATGTAGAATTACAATACAAACAAGACACAACTTTGGCAAAAGTGAGTTGCTGTTGGTTTTCTCTGAAGGACATTTACAGTGCAGCATGAGTGAGTGATGGTCTTTAAGCCTTTCCCTGCCTATAATGCCTATCTTCTCCAGAGCCATATGGTTTTTAGTAAGGCTCTGAAATCAGAAGCTACCACTGTTGGGGGGAGGGGAACAACAGGGGAGAAGCTGATATGTATGCATTTATTGGGAAGGGGGAGTGCAGAAGAGGGTTCAACACTCAGCTCTTTCATGCTGCAGTTTAAAATGCCACAGTTACTTTATGGGAAGCCAATACATGATCTGCACTTTGGCTAGGCCCAACATTGAAGTTTGCCCTGAAGATGCTGTCACCTGAACTAAGTTGCTACCAGATACACCAAGTTTGATTCACAAGTATCATTCTGCTTATGGAAGTAGTTCTTCTATGAATGGAAGGGTACCTTTGGATCCAACCCCTTGGTATGGTCCCAAACCCACTCCCCCACCTGTGTTCCCTCTAAGATGAGTTAGTGTGAGCTAGCTCACAGTTTTTTAGCCTCCGGCTCACACATTTTAGCTCAGGAAGGGTGGCTCCACAGCAAATTAACTTATGCAGTAGCCAAATTGCTTGCTCACAACTTTAATGCCAGTAGCTCACAAAGTAGAATTTTTACTCACAAGACTCCACAGCTTAGAGGGAGCATTGTCCCCCACCCATTTCTTCTAATAAACAAGCCCAAAGAGCTATTCCACCTCATAATATTGACCTACTGGACGCCATATGATGGTGCTTGACGATCTTTTTTTACTTGTGTACACAGCCAAAAAGCATAAGAGATTCCCTCACCCAGCAGGGCTTTGTTATTCACTGTGAAGGCTTTTCTACAGCAACTCTCTGCTAAGCAAGCGGGATCTGAAACACCATAATGTGTCTTCTCTTTGCTCTGAGTACTTGCCAGATCACGGAGAAAGCTCAGTGTGATCCAAAGACCTTCACAGTTTTTAAGCAAAAAAGAATTTACATGACCAACTCTGACTCATCAGTTTTCTAGAAAAGACTTCTTGGAGTGCAGATTCAGGGAGGAGGGTGCTGATGGAGGGAGGTTAGAGAGTTGAAGGTATGATTAGCAGCTTCTGGTATATGACACTCATTCCACAGTTCCCTTTGCCGAAAGACTTTTCTTTAAAAGCCCGTTAAACTAGAAACAAGGAATACATGCAAACACCATGGGAAATCTCTCTCAAACCACTTTCAACACTCTCAGAAGCCATATGTTGTTCCCATCCACGTGATGTCACATTCTAAAGTTGCAGAACACAACATCCCGTAATGGGCTCCTATTAAAACTTCATAAGATTGCCCTCTCTCTCTCTCTGATGATTCCTCTTCAAGAAGATTTGTCACAAACAGAAGATCAGAACTCAGTGCTTTGTTTCATTCTGTTCACCCCCTTCATTCCCCTCCCTAACTACGTAATCTGGATTCAGTGTATATTCAAAGGAAGCAAGCCGGTCTAGCAACGCAATCCTATGCAGAGTCACGGCAGTCTAAACACCTGCCTTGGCGGGGAGGGTGGGGTATAAATTGGAAAAATAAATAAATAAATAAATTGTCATTAGAGTGAAATTGCACAGGATTGTACTGGAAGTTAGGCATTTAAAGTTGCAGGAAGATTTATGGTTTGTATATTTTGTTCTAAGTTCAGAGTTTAAGTTCCCTTTGCAGGGATAGTCTTAAAGCAGAGACAGAGGGAGACTCAGATGGGCACAAAGTCACATATGTCTACAGTGAGATCAGAGCAGAGGCAAGCAACCTACCAAAAGGGGAGACCAGCAGGCAAAGAGGACGCACATGATACCCAGCAGCTGGATCAGGGTTTCCATGGTGATTCGGCCCCACTGCCTCCTGGACTGAGACCTGGAGCTTTTGGTTCGGCACCGACACACCAAAGCGACAATGGTTGCCACGTTGCAGGCCATAGTGATAACGAGGGAGAAGAGACCCAAGAAAGCAAAAATCGAAGCAAAGACTGAGCTGCCCATCCCTGCGCCCTCATCATCCCTGGTGCCAATGAAGCACCAGGTGCCTGGCCACTGGAGAGCGTACTTCCCTACGCCAATGATGGGCAAAAGTGCAAACGCAAAGACGGCCAGCCACACGCTGAGAATGATCGATTTAGTCACCCTGGTCTTCATGTGGCCAGAGTACCAGTGCGGGGCTCGGATGGCCAAAGTCCTTTCGACAGCCATGGCGCTGGCGATGAAGAGAGGGCACAGCCCGAAGACAGTCATACACATGCCAAAGAAGGTGCACAGTTTCAGAGACGGGTCCACCTCGCCCCAGTTCCGGTTAGCCAAGTACACCGAGATGACAATGGGGCTCGTCACCAGCTGCCCGGTGAGATCGGTCAGGGCCAGGGAGCCGATGCACAACAAGAACGACTTCTTCCTTTGGTTCTCCTTCTTGTGATAGGCTCGGTACACCAAGAGCATCGCCAGCCCGTTGCCCACTATGCCCGTGATCATCATGGTCAAGGGGAACACGATGGAGACAGAGCCACAGGGCGCCGTGGCGTTGCCGGGAAGAAGGGCCATGGCGCTGGCGTTGAGCCGCTCCTGGCAGAGCCCGCTCACAGTCAGGTCGCTTGGTGGAGGGGCGGCGGGAAAGGCGGCGGCGGCGGCGGCACCGGGAGCGGGCAGACGGCGCTCTGGTCCCGTCCCATGGCGGCGCGCCTCGGTCCGGCCGTCGGGGCTCCCCAGCGCGCCTCAGAGGGCTCCCGAAGGCGAGCCGCGCTCTATAAGGCGCAGGAGGCGGAGCCCCGCCGTCGTGTCACTTTCATTGATCAGGCTGAGGGAAGGCGAGGGGGCCGCTCTCCTGCCTGCTGCTGGCGCTGGACACGCGGCACAACGAGCCAGAGAGGATGAGCCCAACTTCGGGAGTTTCTTCACGTGGAGGGAACGAGGAGGACCCGGATCCTGTCCGCGCCCCGTGAGCCGGTAGACTCTGCCTTCCCAGAAGCTCTTGAAGGAAGGTCGATGAAGCGGGACTCAAGGCTCGAGGAAGCAGCCTCCTCTGTCGACCAGGGCTTTACTTGCTCTCCTCCCCAGATCAGCCGGTCCGATGTCTCCTAAGCCATAGCAGAGCTTTGCGCTGACGTAGTCCTTGCTTTATTTTTCCTGAGCTCACACTCACAGACGCTTGAGTGAAGCTAGTGTTTCCCCGTTCTTTTCTGTATTTAGTTGCGGTCTTGCCGTTTGTCCCCATCAACGCCTGATCAGTCGCAGAAAGATGCATACTGAAGGCGGACTTTCTAACGGCAGTTTCAAAATCAGGCGCAAAACACCCCCAGAATGTTTGTTAGAGATTGAAGCGGAAAAACAACCAAGGTGGTATCAGAGGCAATGAGGACATCTAGTGGGAGATGAAAGACCGCGCCAACAGGCAGCTAAGTGTTGACAATAGACTCTCTTCTAAAAAATGGTTCTCAGGGCTTGGTTATGAGAGGAGAGCAGAGGAGGGCCCTCTAAAGACTGCACTCTTGTTTACTGTAAATTCCTTACAAGGGGGTAAAGGTTCCCTTGCTCGAAAACCAGTCGAATCCGACTCTAGGGTTGCGGTGCCAAAGCCGAAGAGCCAGCGCTGTCCGAAGACGTTTCCATGGTCATGTGGCCAGCATGACTAAACACCAAGGCGCACGGAATGCTGTTACCTTCCCACCGAAGTGGTACCTATTTATCTACTTGCAATTTCTTGCTTTCGAACTGCTAGGTTGGCAGGAGCTGGAACTAGAGATGGGAGCTCACTCCATCATGACGCACCCAGATCTCGAAGCGCTGAACTACTGACCTTCCACAGCCTGCAGTTCAGCGTCTTAACCACTCCAGCCACCGCAGCTCCTTACAAGGGGATAGAACTATAATTTTTTAGAAAAAATCCTAGAATGAGAACATAGAATTTCCAGGGTTTTTTTTTTTAAAGGATTATGGTGCACATTTATAGATGAGATGGGAAAAGATCTTGGGGTTGTAGTAGATAGCTCAATGAAAGTGTCAACCTAGTCTGCTGCAGCAGTAAAAAACGCAAACTCTGTGTTAGGTATTATTAGGAAAAGGATTGGAAATAAACAGCTGACATTATAATGCCCCCATATAGATCTATGGTGTGGCCTCATTTGTACCATATGTGCAGTTCTGTTCACTGTATCTCAAAAAGGACATCACAGAGCTGGGAAAAGTACAAAAGAGAGCAACCAAGATGATTAGAGGGCTGGAGCACCTCCCCTATGAGGAAAGGCTGAGGAGTCTCAGACTTTTCAGTTTAGAAAAGAGTCGACTAAGGGGGGGGGATGATAGAGGTTTATAAAATGATTCATGAGGCGTAGAGAGATGACAAAGGGAACTTTTCTCCTTCTCCCAATGCACTACAACACAAAGGCATCCAATGAGACTTATGGGCAGTAGAATTTCAGATGGACAAAAATCCTTACGCAGAGAGCAATTAAAATGTAGAATTCACTGCTAGTGGATGTAGTGACAACCACAGGTGTAGACAGCTTTAAAAGGGGGTCAGACAGATTCATGGAGGATAGGTCTTATCAGTGGCCACTAGACATGGTGACTGAGGGGAGCCTCTACATCAGAGGCAGTGAGCCTCTGAATCCCAGTACCAGAAAGCAACATCAGGGGAAAGCCTTGGCCTCTATGTCCTGTTGTTGGCCCCCCAGAGAAACTATTTGACTACAGTGTAAGCCAGGATGCTGGACTAGATGCACCACTGATCTGATCCATTATTTAGTCCTGAGCCCAAGTAAAACCCTGAAACTTGCAGTCTGGATGACATATTGCCTGTTTAATTCCTTTACTTATATGCTACATTGTGCAAATGGCTTGCATCTATATACTAATAGCAAAGTTGGCCAAATCTGAGGATAATTTTATCTGGTGACTGGAGTTGTGAATGAGCAAGACAGATCTTTCCACAAACCTGAAAAAACACCCTGGGTTTGCAGAAAAATCTGAAATCTAAAACAAACAAACAAACAAAGCAACCTTGGGGTGGGGGTTAAAAAAACCTGAAAATAATAAAAGGGGTACACCTGTAGCTTTAAGCATCAGATTCCATCAGTGGTTGTTGCTAGGCAACCACTGTATTCCAGGCTAGGTTTATATGAGTAAAAAGGCAGGGTCTGTTAGATTCTCTGAAAGGAGACCACAAGAAGCTAAAACCTTTTATTGTAGCTCCATAAAACAACAAGGACTTTTAAACAGAAGAAGCTGAAACTGAAAACAAAGCATGGAATGTAACCAGCCTATTTAACGGGCTGAGCTCCAATGCCACCAAGGATGGAAAGCCAAAGAGGCTAATGCCCTACATAGCCCTTTCCAGGCCTATATTGACCTTTGAGGGAGATCAGGATTGGGATCAGGCCGAAACTAGGGTTACCAGCTCCAGGTTGGGAAATTCCTGGAGATTTTGTGGTGAAGTCTGAGGACGGCAGGGCTTGGGGAGGGGAGAAGCCTCAGTCAAATATAATGCCATAAAGTCCACCTTCCAAACCAGCCATTTTCTCCAGGAAGACAGGTCTCTTTCATCTGGAGTTCAGTTGTAATTCTGGAGATCTTCAGGTCCCATCTGGAGGGTGGTAACCGTAGGCCTGGAAGCAACTTTTGGGTGACTTGATGCCACCCAACTTGTATTACTCAACTGGGCCTGGATGCTTGCTACTATAAAACAGCAGCCACCTTTTGGAAGCTAGTGTAGTATAGCAGTTACAGTTTCAGAGTAGGGTTTGAGAGATTCAGGTCTGAATCTCCATCTTGCTGTGGAAGCTCATTGGGTGATTACAGACCTGTCATATACTTTCAGCCTAACCTACCTAATATGTATGTATGTTACAGGGTTGTTGTGTGGATAAAAAAGAAGAGGGAAGTAATGAAAGCTGCTTTGTTCCCCACTGGGGAGAAAGGTGGGGTATAAATGAAGTAAATAAATAATAAATGTAGCTGGAGATGGAAAGCAGATAAAAGGCAGGATGGTTAATGGCTATCAATCTAATTCAATCTAATTTATTGCAGCAGGAGCCAGTAAAACAGTACAATTCTGATATAAAAGGGATTAAAACAGTAATAACATGGGAATAATATAAAAACATTAACAGGAGAGAGTTAATAACATTAGTAAAGTAAAATAGTGTTAATAAAAGAATCATACAATTTTTTCAGCTTAAATAAGTTTACATTTCCTAATAGCTAAGCAACAAAATTTTGCCACAGCGTAAGTTACTGAGCTCTGAACATCTTCTAAGAGGAATTTATGAAGGACTTCTGGCCTAAAGTCAAGATAAGACTGTAAAGGGCTAAATCTAGATAGAAGGGGTAGTATAAGATGGTCTTGTTTGTCCTGATAGAATCTGCAGAACAGGAGGACATAATTGATTCCACCATATTAGCCATGCATGGGCATATACGTTCATGCATTGGGACTCGAGTGAATTTACCTTGCAGTACAGCGGGAGGGAGTGCCTCAAAACGGGCTCTGGAAAAGGCCCATCTATAGGGTTCATAGGTAATGTTAACTAAGGGGCAACAGTAAAATTTGGCCAAGATTTTATGTTTCTGTAGTTCTTGGGTAGCAAAGCTTCTTCATTTTGTGATTCAATATCACGAAGCCTCTGCACGACCGCTGTTCTAGCCTTGTATAGGCTTCCATAGAAGAGATCTTCTGGGAATAGGCCAATCTGATTTAATTTATTAAGAATTTGTGTGGACCAGGCAGGGTAAGGATCCGAGGCTAAAAAGTAAGGCATTAAACCCTTTGGGTTGTAATGAATTTTTAGCCAGAGCATTATAGCCTACTCCCAGATCTTTGTTTCAACTCTGAGTAGCCCAGCCTCCTGCCTAAGTGTTACATTAGAGGTACTTCTAGGAACGCCAAATAGAGATATAAGAAATTTAGATTAAACCTTTTCAAGGGTCTTTAGATTGGCAGAAAGTCCGATTTGTGAGCCATACAGGAGTTGAGCCAATGATTTTGCCTGGAAGGTTTTTAAGGCCGTGGGGAGAAAGCCTGCACCTTTCCTTCTAAATAATCTAAGAGGTTAATGGCTATGAAGGAGAGAATGAGGCAAGGAAAGAGGACAGGATATGGGGGTTGCCAGGAGGAGGGAAGGAGGAAATAGTGTGGAGAGGGGGATATAGAGGAAAGCGAGGTGCCACCACACAAGTCCCTGCCATGCAAGTGGGCCTGGCCCAATGGCCAGCACCACACAATGGAGCCAGTTTTCCTAAATTGAGGCTGCTGGGGAGGGGGAGGGAAAGCTTAAGACAAAGGGCAGGGTTTCTTTCTTTCTTTCTTTCTTTCTTTCTTTCTTTCTTTCTTTCTTTCTTTCTTTCTTAAAAGAGGTGCTGGAACTCTCAAGAGGGAAATGTGGTTTTCAATCTGTATACTGAAAAATCATGAACTTTTAAACATTTTTTAAAAGCTTTTGTCAAAGAGGTTCCAGAACTCCATCCCAGCACATTCCCCTGACAGAGGGGCAGATAAGGGCAGGCTGGCTGTTGGGTGGGAAGGAGATATGGTTACCAACTCTATGTTA